CACTTGGATGACATTTAAAGGCCAACTCCTCAATTCAAAAATTTTGGAAAGGTAATAAAAAATTCAAGAATTTATTTTCAGCAATAGCCACCTTGCCACTGAAAAGGGCGAAATTAAGGAGTTTTCCATTATCAAATATTGGGGAGGAGGGGTGCCAAGTGTTTTGGCTCATAACGCTTTTCTAAATTTCAATACTGGAAAAAATATTTTTAAGAAATAGCTCCAAGAAATTGTAGAATGTAAGAAGTAGAATGGGAATACAATTAATGAATGAAAAACATTAATTACCGTATCTAGACTAGATAGGGAATGATCAACAGCATTTTTGTGAATAAATTAAAGCATGAGAAGCCTTTAAAATTAAAAAAAATAGACTTAGCTAAAGCTATTTGAATATATGTACATACAGTAAGTAATAACTGATATATACATTTAGGCAAGCATTAGGTAACACTTTTCCTCAGCATATACCTAAGTGTATTTAAAAACATAAAAATAAAAGACTAGCAGCCTATTACTCAAGTTACTCAGATATTTTTCATGACAAGAAAACTAGAAGAAAATGCAGTAGAGAGATAAGAGAGTTGTAGTTCAATTCAAGAAGAGATACGTTGGTCTGCCAAATCGGAAGTAAATCGTGTTACCCCAACTTAGGGTTTGGCTTGACATTAAAGCTTTACAGAGCAATATTATTCCCCAGGGATATCTGCTGAGGGTTGAGGGTGAGAAAAGGTGTTAAAATCTGGAAGATGTGGATGCTACATTACAATCATGGCCTTGGGCAGGACCTTGATCGAAATGCCACACCCATCATCTTGCAGATAGTTATCTCTCTGCTAATGCTTCTGTTAACCCCTGTCCTTTCTATCCCAGATTCTGCCAGTCTTTGTTCTTAGGATCTCCTGAGTCTTCTGGATAGAAATTCAGGAAGTTTCTATCCCAATACATCTGAAAAATGGCAGGTTGGTGTAGGCTGCTTCGATACTCTCTATTATTCTTCTTTTATTCTGGAAGCATAAAGACAGCTTTTCACAGACATGACACTCTCCAGGCATATTAGGACTGCCAAGTTCCTGTATTCCTAGCCAGCCTGGCCTCTAGTAGCCCCAACCTCTGGAGCACTGGGTTGGGGACAGACTAATTTAAGGCCAAATCTGTATAGCAGAGTTGAGATTTCCCTTTCATGGCCTGCATTCTTCTCAAAGCATGAATGTTACTATCATTTGTGCTAAATTATACTCTAAACATGGTTTACAAGTTATATTGAGTTCACATAACAGGATAACATATATAAAACTGTCTGTTCCAGGAATGAAAAAGTATATAGAACTTCCAAAGGAAATTCAGATATTTTGGCTGCCCTCTTTTTGTGTTCATTAGTACCGTAAACAACCTTACTTCTGAAACCATCAAACTCTGATGTACTTTATGACTATATTGTTTGGAAAGCATCTCCTGTTGGCAAAAATCAGATTTTATACTAAGTAGCCTAAGTAAGAAAGAATACTTCATACCTAAGTAAGCCTGTGGGATTATTAATAAAGATAGGGCAGTGTTGCCCAATATTGACAGTCATTTATTCATTTCACTTATTTTATACTGTCTGGTCCAGAGATTTCAGTGCAAAATATTTTTGGCTAACACATTTCAATTCTTAGAAAAAGAAAAGTTACCATCATCTAGTAAGTTTATACATGACATGAACCAGTATCCTTCCTGCCCATAGTAGATCATCATAGCTTTTGCTTTGCAAGATATTTATTAAAGTGCAAAATCATTTGTTAAATTGTTTCTACTAATAGCTTGTTTGCAATTACTAGTGAGCCTGAAGGACTTGAAGGCCTGATGGAGAAATCATCAGCAGTTAGAACCAATGCACAGCAGTAAGTGCATAGAAGTTCACCCTTCATGTTTTGCAAATTGAGATGTTAGGGGGGAAAAAAGACTTCTGTCTGTCATATTTTAGATTAGGAATAGGCAACTAGTTCTCTCCAGATGGTTTTCATTAGCCCCAATTACCATGGTTAGGCTGTTTAAGTGTGTGTATGTCTGTATGTGTGCATGCCTTCTAGCAGTGCTTTTTTCTAAAAAAAAAAAAAAAAAAAAGATGCCAGAACTCACACATGTCATACAACCCGCCTTGCCTACCCTACAAGGTTCCATCCAAAAAAGGTGCCGGAACTCCGTTCTGGGCATTCTATGAGAAAAAAAGCCCTGCCTTCTAGTCAGTTTTTGACTTTCTGGTCAAGTCCCTGCAGTTTTCTTGGCAAGGCTGTTCAGAAGTGGCCTGCCATTTCCTTCTTCGTAGGACAGAGAAAGAACTACTGACACAGAGTTGCCCAGCAGGCTTTAGGACATATGCAGGACTAGAAGTCAGCCTCCTGGCTTCTAACCTGACATCTTAACCTTTACAGTAAGCTGAGCTCTCATACATACATACATTAAAAAAAAACCCCCCATTTATACAACCCTGGATATTTGGGGTAAAATCAGGGGGAATGGATGGAGCTGAGCATTTTCGGGCCAGATGCCCTTCCTGACTCCATGTGGAGTTCACAGCAGGTATTTTTTTCTTTGCGCCCTAGGAGAGAGAAACATGTGCCGCTACTAGGATTGAACGCTCAACTTTCTAAGTGAGGCAGGCGTCTTCCCCACTAGGCCATTAGGCTGCTCTTTTCACATATACATACATACTTAGCGAGGGGAAGATAAAATTGCAAGATAAAAATAAAAACGAAGCATATATTTCAGTGACTTGCAGTGGTAAACACTTACTCTCACTTCACTAAATAGAGTTTCACAATGAAGTAATTAACTTTTCTATATAATTAACTTCTCACATTTTCTATAATGAAAAGAGACTCATACTTTAAAACTTAATATACATCATTTTTATATGTGAAAAAAAATTAAAAAATGGGCAAATCTATTCGGCTACTTAAAAATGCAAATGTTGTCTAAAGATCATACCATGTTCTTTGAGATTGTTCAAAGATCTACCTCCCCCCCAAAAAAAAAGTCTCCAGGAACTTACTTTCTGACACATTTCAGAATTTACAATATCTGAGAGAAATTCTTGATCCTTAACTCATAGTTCAAAGCCTTGGATAGTTGCTCCTGCATTTGTTTTGACCATCAGATACTAAGACTCTGATCAGATGACATTGCTTTGATAGGTCTCTGATGAAAAGCCAGGAACATTAAAGAAAGCACAATGGGGCAAAGCCAACATATCTTGAATTATTCTCATAAAGATACGTTCTTTAGATGACTTTTCAGGGGAAAAGGAATTCAGACATTGCATGCCATTAGATTAAAATTGGACTTAATATGCTTTCAGCTATACATTTACTTTATTAAGTAACTTCTTGTGAAAGCTCTAACTTTCTAGTAACTCTGATGTACATATAAGGAGCCATAAAGGCATTCAAGGTATTTCTGGAAAAAAATAACATCTCATAGAGCCATAAAGCAGAGTCAACTGACAGCAGTAAAGAAAATCAGGTCACTCATCAAAAACCATTAACAGACCCAAAATTGCTTCTAAGTGAAAATGGGATTCAATCAAGTTATGATGGCACAAAGTGGGTTTACAGACAGACATTGGGTTTCAGTTTCTGACAAAGCACAAAGAATCATTCAGCAATGCTTTTATTTGCTGGAATACAGCCAGGGAAACTGATCACAATATAGCAGTACAATTATCATGCAGATATAAAGTACAGAAGCAACATGATCAGCACCAGAGCTAAGTACAAACATAAACAACCTGTATCACTAAGATTCAATAAAGCAGAGTATGAAACAGTTCTGTTGTTGGCAAATATTAAAGATATAGGACTAGTTCTTTTATATGTGGAACAACCATTCATATATTGCAGAGAATAGATCAGAGAAAGAAATATAACTGGTACCATAGGCCAAAGAATCCATGGTACCAAAGAATCCAATGAAAAACCAGTTTTCTAATAAAGGAACCTTGTTAAAAATAGCCAGCTGCATGAAGAACCTGAAGAGGGGAAAACTGGTCATCATATAGACTGATTTCAGCAACAGCCTCTATATATGGCTAATTATGTCTTTTTTTAACACTCTCATTCCCAACACATGAGTGTCTTTCTTTAATGCCAATCAAATGCAACATGTACTTCTCACAAAAGATGTCACAAGGTAGGAAGGGACCTTAAGATCATTCAATCCCTCCCCATATTGAAAGAGAGCCTTTGTGCAGAATCTCATTAAGCCATCTCAACCACTGTTTTAAATATTTTATCAAGCTGCTACAAAACAGAGCATCAGGCCGAGAAGATATTCCTTTGTTCCTATAACTCCTTATGAAATTATGAATATTGGCACTTACACAACCAAAAGGGTGTTGCCTATATCTGAGGAAGAACTGGTGTGGGAGAATCTCAGGGTTTGAAGATTTGTAGGGAAAAGGTCTGTGGGGAAAAATAACCTGCAGGCACAGGGAAGGATAGAATAAAAATAACCCATTAAGGCAGAGCACGTTTCTGAAGGATATAAACCCTGTAAGGAGGGATGAAATGGAGATCCTGGATATCTAAACAAGGAATGTTCCATATACATTATGTGGTAGATTTAACTTCCATTTGTTTAGTTTGTGCAGGGCAAAGTTCATATTCTTTTGATTATCCCAGATATGCAGAATAGATTTTAAAAATCCAAGTGTATGGATTGGCCATTTATTTTACAATAAATTAAAATGGTATGGTAAAATTCTTCTGACAATTTAATAGGATGACATTGATGATTATTAAATACCTCCTGCATTGAAGAAATAATCTCAAGGTAGCTGGATTTCTAAAGAAGGTGATGGGAGTTTCAAAACCGAGTAAAGTAACATAAACATAGTAAACAAATAAAAATAAAAATACCAGGAATGGTTCATATGTGGACCCTGGCTTCAGAAGAATGCAGGATGCACATGCAACATAGAATTACAGAAGATAAAAGTCTTAATCATAACTGGGACTTACCACCTCAGGTCTCTTAGGAAATAACCACAGCATTCAGATGCCTCTAAATCCAACACTGCACACCTAAAACCTTGGGCAGAAGGAACAATTGTTAAGCAACTTTTCTTACTATATGTTCAGGTCACTAACAAATTAAAGCATTCAGATTAATAAAATCCTAAATTAAAAGCCATTCAGGCATTATTTCTGAAATACTGAAAAGGAGCTCTGGGAAGGATTTGCATTTTCATATTTTCATCCTGCTAATCTGTGAAGAAGATTAGAGCATGGGAGAATTCAGATGCTGTATGTGTCAGAGATGGGGAACCTATGGTTCTACAGATGTTATTGGACCATTGCTTTTTGTATGCCCATCCTTAGTCATGATAGTTGATGCTGCTGAGTGCTAACCCTCAGGAATACCCAGCCAAACACAAATTTCTTGATCCTGCTTTAATCAATGCATAATATCCATTTTTTGATGAGCATCCCTATAAAGCAGCTAACGGTTCCCCTGTCCAGTCATGACCAACTCAAGGGGGAGGTGCTCATCTCCAATTCTCAGCTGAGTGAGCCTGTGTCGTCTGAGAGTTGCTTCTGTCATCATGTGACCAGCATTAGAGTATGGAATGCAGTAACCTTTCCTGCCGCAGCAGTACCTATTTATCTACTCACATTTGCATGCTTTCTGACTGCTAAGTTGGCAGAAGCTAGGGTAAGTAACAGGAGCTCATCCTGTCACGTGGCACTTGTGTCTCATACCCGGGCTATCAGCTTCCAGCTGACAAGCCCAGCATCTTAACTGTTGAGCCATCTATCCCTATGGAAAATGCTAAATCACTCCACATGCATTCTGAGCTGCCAACCTAATAAAAATGTTCCTTCAAGATACCATAAGTGATTGCAATAAACATTAAAATTCAGCACCCTCTATGAATTATATTAATCAAAAATTCTCTTTATTTTTGTTCAGACCATTCCTTTATCTTGCTTTTGTAAAATCTATTCCCATTTTGCTACTTGAAAAAGCATGTGAATTGCTAACACCAATGAATAATACAAAACTATTAGTGCCAAAGATGTCTCTGTACTGCTACTCTTTTTTTCTGACTTTGTTTAATGAAAGGAAATAACAGTAGGGAAAAAGAAACAAATGAACCTTTCCTGATCTATGATTGTTCTGTTCAGATTTCTGTCAGAATTATTTGCCTATGGTGGATTCAAAATGTAAAAGTTTGGAATACTGCAGGCTGCTGTCTTGAATTTATGGTATCTTTGGTATCTTTAGAGAGATCACCAATTGTTGCTAAAGTGTCACCAGGTTCATGTCAGCTCTTAGTGATTACATAGATCAGATTTTCTCCGGGAATAGAGAGAATATAGGCAAAAAATATGGAGCTGCCTTCCTCATTCTCCTCTCCAAGCATCTGACCCCCAAACAGCTTTTTTCCATTGCTGTTGCATTTAAAGGTCACCAAAGGTTGATGTTGAATTTTGCATCTTTGAGTAAATGGGTTTATTTGAATGGAGTGGAATCTCTTCCAGATTCCAAAACTTCAGCAGACAATCGCCTCTCCATCACCGTGTACCTATCTTTATAACCATTAGAATTGGAAATTGTTGCTTTAAAAGAATAAAAACAAAACCCAGCAGTTTCCCAAGCAGCTAAGTTCTTCACCAAAAAGCAGATAAGGGGATTATGAAACTTTCTGTTTAAGTTCCAGCTAACATCTGAAAAGGCTTAAAGTATATTTTCACAAGTGGTACATGGAGCCAAAGCCTATGTATATGTGACCAGAAGTTACATTACTTTCAGAGGGGTTTATTCATAAATTGCCATGCACAGGACAATCTTTGGAAGTAAAATACTGCAATCCTATGACATTTCCTTGAAAACAACGCCATCAAATTCAGTTAGGACAGTTCTAGAGCAAATGTGCAAATATATTTGTAGTTTCCAATTGGGTTAATGCATCATGTTAAGCTACTTTTCCTCAACTTGATATTCTCTTAATCAGTGTTTCTAATCAATTCCCAGAATTCCCAAGCCAGCCACTTATCTTAAAGTTGCCAAATTTGAGAAACACTGCTCTAGATACATTGAACTGCAACTCTCAAAATGTCAAGTCATTTGTTAATTCTTGGAGTTGTAATTCCAATACATCTGTGGAGTACCAAATGGGAAAAGCTATATTAAGCCATAAATTCAATTAATCAGAGTTTATTGAATAAGCTACAATTACTGGATACATACACCATACTAAGCCATAAACCATTCTCAACAGATATCAGTGGCTGGGTTTATATAATCTACAAAATCATATTACAGCCTTGTGTAGGAACTCAATCTGAATTTGAAATAGATTTCTAATAAATATGGATGTGAAAAAATGATTTAAGTCAAATCTGGTCTAACAACAAGAACACACACATACATTTTATTGATTTTATTATTGCCAATAAATTCAATGGTGCTTATCAAAACAGTATGAAGAGGCAAAGATAGCTATAAACTTGTATTGAACTGCATCATGTAAAAATATGAGATCACTATGTGTGGAATGTTTAGCTCTTTAATTCAGTTTGAATTTTTTTTAAAAAAAAAACAGGAATCGTTTGGACAAAGCAAGCAGTACTAATCCAAATAAGACACAGCCCACATCTATAAAATTCTGCAGTTTTAGTATGATTTCACTTTTGTATGCAACAATGAGCAAATGCACATAAGTCTTAAACACCTGAAGCAACTAAGTATGCAAATATATTTTTCATTAGTTTATTCTTGAAAAATGTCATAGTTGCAGGCTCGTAGTTGCTCTTTCAAATGATATTTAGTTTTGGAAATTGTTTCATGAATAATAGTGCCTAGTTGCAGTTGAATCTGAGCTAAATTCAAAATAAAATTGAAAGGCACAAAGCAGGAAGTTCAGCAAATAAGCAATCTAAGCTTTTGCTGTGACTTTTGGATAATGGAAACTATGCAAAGCAATATAATACCAAAAATAGGTATGAAGGAAAAAAACTGCTCTCATATACTAAATTAGTGCAACATAATTAACATATAGCTTTAGCCTACTTGATGTAGAAGAAACTGAACTAGATACAGTTGCAAAAAAACCTCTTTGGGTTATCACCAAATTCTCTGCACTATCACAATAAGGCATATCATCCAGCCAAAGTGAATGATTTTTAGTTGACTAAACCTAGAATGATGACAATAGTTTCACTAAATACCTGTCACCTGCTGTAAATATGCAGCTGATATTAACTAACAGAATTATTGCTCTGTAGAGAGAAATTTAAATCAATCAATTTCACATTCAAAAGTGGAAGTTACACTGAACATTATGAGATTAATGCAGATTACAGAGATTGAGATTCAAAAATATATTCTATCATGAGCCTCAGGGGCAGTACTTTTGCTCTTTGTACTGACCTTTAAAAATAGATGGTAATATAAAATTTGGGACAGGAGCAAACATATGCTCTATGCCAGGGGTCTTCAAACTTAGCCCTTTTATGACTTGTGGACTTCAACTCCCAGAATTCCTCGGCCATCATGCCTGGCTGAAGAATTCTGGGAGTTGAAGTCCACAAGTTGTAAAAGGACCAAATTTGAAGACCCCTATTCTATGCTTTTTAGAGCCAATTAAAATGAGTTGCATAGAAGAGTTATAAATAAATAAAATTCAGTTTATAGTAAGTATTATTGTCCTTCTCCAATAATTTCCCATATTGATCAATATTTGTTTTTAATCTTCTGGATTTTTCACTCACAAATATCTAATTCTGAAGCTGACAGAGATATTGAAGAGAAATTATTTCCAAATGTTTACTATTCTCACATATAGTAAGCTTGTTTGGATTTGCATTATAATATTGTAACAAAATTAACCAAATAGTTTAGGTTCACAACATGGTAAGTCAATAACCAAGATTTATACATCTGTAATCACCTTTAATACATTGTGTGGATGTATCCAGGGCTTATAATCACCAGTTAAGCCAATGACATGTTTACATATTACATCAAATTATGATTTTATTTAACATGATTTGTTAAATAAGCAACAAGCGGGAACCACACAACCATAATCATTTGCTAAATTCATTTCACACAGTATAGTAATATTTTAACCATGATTTGAACAGTCCTAATTGTTTGCTTGATTCACAGATAATGTTAATCCATAATGAGTAAATTTATATAAGTTAAACCAAAAGAAAATAAACTAAGTTGTAGAAACTATTATGCACAAAACAGTTCAATTACTATAGTAGGGTCAGAATTTATCTTGACCATGCTTGGATTATGCATTTACATTAACCACAATGCTGCTTCTAAAAGAGCCTATATTGGCCTAGATACAAACAGAACTCTTAAATAATCAGCTATGATCATTCAATTTCCCACGTTATATCTTTCACCTTACTCTCCCTACTATCACTTTCCATTTGGTGGAGAAAGTAATTATTTCTCAGCAGTTACAAATAAATTGAACAAGTTATCAAACACACAACTTTACTTCTCATCTTATTTTAAAAGGCAGTAATATTATATGAAACCAGCAGATCATCCCACATTCTTAAATGTTAAATTTTTAAAGAACCATTTAAAAATGAACCATTCGTACATTTAAAATTAAATGGGAGGGAGTGATTACAAATTTCAATTTACCTTCCTTTTCCATTTCTCCAGCCTACCTCATCTATTACAGGAGGTCTTCCCAGCCTATCCTTTACACCTGAATTTTCCAACCTCTGCAGTTTTAAGATATATGGCCAGCATGGGGAATTCTGGGAGTTGAAGTCCATATATCTTAAAGTTGATAAGGTTGAGAAACACTGTTTTAAACAAATGGATACTAGTCCCTTTGGCTTGTTAAGGGGCGAGGGGGACAGGAAAACACTGTCAGCCTAATAAACCTCCACACTATCTGATTTCCATCCTGTCATCATTAAGAGGAGGCAGTGGCTACATTGAACACAGATAGCAGAAGAGTGTCAGGAAATAACTGATATATATTCAGCCAGAGGCGGCAGAAAAGCAGAAGTGAGTAATAATATACGTGATAGGAGCAGAATTACGCACATGAGGGTGCATTTACACTTTACTTTCCCACATCTTTAAGAGGTAGGCCATCCATTGCATGGTAACTCCGGCAAGTTGCCAGGGAAAAATGCATGTATGGAAAAGCAAAAAGTTGATGCAGGCTTGCATGAAATGATCTGGGAACATTGTAGTGATTATGTATCTCTGTTCAAGGTAAAGCTCGTTTCAGATATAGGTTTCTCTTTAATTTCTGAAACAACGTAATGACTCCTTTGCACTTTGGTTGTCAGAACTTGCATTCTTATTTCTCTTCCTTCAAGCTGGGCTTCGTTTAAACCAGCTTTAAATCCGAGCCCTATTGAACAAGCTAACTCCCCAACGTCCGAAGCCAAAAATGAAAGGCAAAGATAGCTCTAACCCAGTTCATTGTAGCCATCCTCCTCCTCCTCCTCCTCCTCCTCGCTTGACAGTGGTCGGAGAAAGGAGTGGTCGGACATCTTTCCCTCCGTCCACTTCTTCACGAACACTTGAACGGTCCTCAATTTAACACAATCACGCCCATATTTTCTGGGTAACTTAGCTGACAGGGGAAAAAAACTCTGCACCCCAATGTTTCTTTATCCGCCTTTGCTTAAACTTCATAAATAAAGACTGGAAGGGTTTTTTTAATTATTATTTTCATTTTGTGGAGGGACAGCAGCAAGCACACATAAGAGAACATGTATACACAGAAGGTAAAATATACGGGAGGTGATGTCAAATTTGTTCTAAATCTTCCCCTGAGTAAAAACCAGGAAGGTCTACAGCTCACCCACTTGTCTAATTCCCTTTCCCCGCCCGTCCTTCCAACCTCTCAGCTCCCTCGAGATTTCCGCCCTGGCGACGCACCGAACCTCCAAACGCCGCCGCGGGCTTCGATGGAACAGACTCCCGCACGCGCCACCGGCTCCATTCGCCTCCCGGGACCAGGCGCAAAGCCCGAGCACTCTCACCCAAAGCAACTCACCGGGACCGCCGAAGAACCAGCAGCTCCCGCAGCGCAGCAACCGCCCAGTGTCGGAGCCAAGCGAACGCAGTCAGGACTGGCTATTCCCCGTTCCCGGGACCAGCGCCGACTGACGGCGGGCAGCTGCCCACTATCGCTACCAACCTCATCCGTTTCCTCAGGAGCCTCGAGAAGCGGCTAACCCGGCGATAAAGCTCGGATGAAGTGAAGGGGAGGAGCTATTGGCGCGAAGCTGCCAGCCTGGGAATCTGCGCCACGCCCACCTCCTCCTCCGAGGCGGGGCTTTGCGAGTGAGGAAGGGAGCGGGGCGCGGAGGTCAGGAAAGGTGAAAGGGGGACGCTGCCTCTCAACGGAGAAGAGCGGTGGGAGGATAAGCGCTTCGCGGGCCGATGTGGGCAGACTCGGGCTGTGATATATATAGAGAGAAAATGCCTCGGAATTAAAGGCAGCCGACCGATGTGCTGGTAAAAACCAGTCCGATGGTGACTCTTCCAGAAGCAAACACATGTCACTGTATCTATTTCTGAAATTTGCATCCTGCCTTTTGTTAGGGAATTGAAGGCACATTACTCCGGTTTTTTTCCCCATAGCAACCATCCTGCAACGTAAATTGGGCCAAGAAAAAGTGATGGCTCGAAGTCCCCCAATGGATTTCCAGGGCTAAGGATGGAACTTGGTCTGGATCCTGTTGGTGCCACTCCAACACTGCAACCACGATTCCAAGTTTTGGGTCTGCTTAATGTGGCTTGTTGAATTATTTAGAACTGTTGTAGTGAAACATCAAGCATGGCTTATAATGCACAATCGCTGGTTTCATAGAATGCAAAAGCTATAAACCAAACAAGGCATCCTATGGTTAGGACAATATATAAACTCAATCATAGCTTGGTGATTTTTTTTGCAGATGTTTCATTACAAACTAGCTAACATCAGGACATTGATAATGAAATGTCTGCAAGAAAATTACAAACTCACAGGGCATCAAGGATTCCACAGTTCAGCCCTGAGCTACAGATAACTCTAGTCTATGGAAAAACTCAGTCATAGCTTGCACCCTCCAGCATATATTTCTGACTCAAATAATTGTATAAGTGATATGGAGTGGGGAGGAGGGAGATAAATATATCTTTCAAAAAGTAGCTCATGTATTCATGTATTCTTCCCACACACCTTTTTGTAGGTATCTGCAGTAGACCACAGGGATGACATATGCATCAAGAGATCAGGCAACTGGCATAATTATGCACTTGTGTCATGCCATCTGTGTTAAATGTATAAATTGCCTCATGATTCATATTGTTTGCCCCTTACAGACATTTGTGTCCTTTTTCAAGTTTCTTAAAGAAAAGTCAGTTTCCATAAGCATCATAGACAATATTCACATGACATGGATATCCATGGTTATCTAAACTCTAGTTTAATGAGTTTATACAGTACAGTAAAGTATACTTATCTACAAACTGATTTATATGTTACCTGCTAGGCTAAAATGTGACTGTTTTTAACATTTAGCAAACATAAATTCTACATAAAAGCAAACATAATTTCTACATAAAAAATTGAGTTCCAAAAAGAAAAGAGAACTTTGTTGCCTTGATCATCATACTGAGAAAGAAACTCATCACGACACAAGATCACTCTAATAAAGTAAACTGGATCAAAGCAGAGAACATATAAGGCCCTTTAATAGGTTTTTTTTCTGTAGTGGTCTGTATTATTTATGTTTCAGTATTATTTTGCAAACCTACAAACTTCTAAGGTTTTGGAAGTCACTGAATCCAATTTGGTCATTCTGTTTGAAAGATGGGAAGCTGGTGGGATTTTTAATAACATAAATCATAGCAGTAATATTGTTCTGAATCTCATTCCGTGTTATGAAACAGTGAAAATTTCAGAAGGTAATAGGTCTTACTGTTCACATTTTTAAACAATCTTTACTACTAAATTGTAGTAAAAACAACATTGTCAACAAAAAGATAAGGGCTAAACTATATGCTCTTGAGAACTTGTAACTGCTTTCACTAAATGTTTAAATTATTTACAGGAAGGATATTCAAGTTATCATTCTATCTTAGAACTGTAGCTTTATGCTTACTATAATAATTTTGGCAATTGTGTAAAACTTACATTGTTCATATGTACAAGATAACTAAATAACTTTATTCTGAAAATATCTATCTATGGAAAATATCTATTAACTATGGAAACCAAATGTTGGTGATCAGGTAGGGGAAGTATATTGAAACAAATGCATCTATATAATCTTCCTGAAGATTGAGAAAAAGCAGCAAAATCAGCCTTTCTTGTGCATAGAATATTTGATAATCAGATTTTATTTGCCCTTAAATGCATTTGTGTTAGTGACCAGGAAGAACTAACTGTTGGTTGTAGGCAAGATTAAGGCTACATTCATCCTATATATTACACTGTTGTTAATGGAAACCCACTTGCCTGATTTTGGGCAACACAATGAACCATATACCAACTACATGTTACATTTTGAAAAACTCACTGAGGCACAACACAGTCAATCAGTAAAAATCAAGTTGCTGGTTCATTAACACTATTTCTTACTTCTAGTTTGTTGAACAATTTCATTGCCTTTACATGAATTAATGACTCAAAAAAGCAACATAGTCATTTTGAGACATTGATTAATCAAAAGCAAAAGGCCTTTACTGAAAAGTACTCTGTTTTAACCAGGAGACTCTGTTGCCACTGTTTTAATCAAAGACTGTACATACTGTGAAAAGCCGTATCACTTCTACCTGTAATGTCTTTGAGATTTCATTAACATAATTAGGGGTCATAGCTTAAGCACAATTGACAAATATATGGATTAAAGCAGCAGCACTATTGTTCAAGTCCACTAGTTGTTTATTGCTTATTAGATTCCTTATACTGAATATGCTCATCTCTAGACATATTGTAAATGCTCTGGGACCTTTATTAGATTAGCAGAAATATGTATATGTTTGTGTGTCTATACATACATACACATTTCTTAAAAAATTTACAGATAGAAGAATATTCTCCTTATCTCAGATACAATGTAAATAGGACTTAGCCAGTTTGGTAGTTCTTTTTTCCATTCTGGCCTGTTGCTAATAATTCTTTTTTTTTTTTTCTCAAAAAAGAATAACTGGATTTAACATGGGCTAAATTAACAATAGTTTTCTCAATTAACCCAGGTTTTCACAAAACAGAGAACACTAAACAAAGCTGTACATGACACTACTGGCTGAAACATGGTTGGCAAATAGAAGCAGTACAAGCAGGAAATTTATACTGTAGTTTACTGTTGCACTTACTTCAGACCTAAATGATAGAGGCATGCACAATAGAAACATTGCAATTATTGACATGCCCATGATTAACCCATACTTTACCTAACTAATTTATTTTGGGAGATTGCCTAATATCTTAAACCATACACTAATATCACAGACTAATTCACCCAATAATTTTTACATATAGATATGCTTGGCTACTATAATTAAGGTTTATTGTATTGTGTGAATATAGTCAATTTTTTAAATTGCTAGAGATATATATTACATGTATTACAAAAGATTAACCCTTCATTATAGAGTATTAAAAGTATAACAGGCATAGCTTAGTCCCTGTGAGACTTGCCGTTCCTGCTAACATTCCATATCACACATAGTTAACAATGCTATCTTTTGTTTTGATTCTAGTAAATCTGTTTGAGTGTTATGTTCTTAAAGCTAGCTATGAAACCAGTATTTCTGAACAGGGAAAAACTATTAATCTAAATTGATATACTTTAAAAATCTATCTTTGTTGGATCTGAGAGCAAAAAGTAAAGTATAAAGTCTCAGGAGAAGGAAAAATCTGGCACAGAATTATGACCTAGATGAAGAAAGCTATAGCTACAAAGCCAAAAAAGTGTTAAGTTTTAGAGTATATAGATGAAAATTCAAATAAACTGCTTGACAAAAAATATTGAAACTACTTAGGAAAAACTACCATTGAAGTAAATGAAACAATTTTGAATAATTGCAATAATTGCACTGATATCTACATGCATAAAACATGGATTGGTTAACTATGATTTTCTGAATTTCTTTGCTCTGATTCAATGAGGACCCCACGTTTTTTAAAAAAAATTTGCTTCACTCATGCCCCTCACGACTTCTCATTTGGACTACTGCAATGCACATTACATGGCCTGCTCCTGAAGAGCATTCAGAAGCTTAAACTGGTGCAGAATGTGACTGCACAGATAGTAAAGTGTGTTGGGTATTCAATACAACCCCATTGCTTTGTGAGTTGCATTGGTTTCCAATTTCCAATTTAAGGTGCTAGTTATCACCTTTAGAGCCCTTCATGGCTTGGGTCTGGCTAACGTAAGGAACTATTTCCTCCCATTTGTTTCTGCCCATCCAATTTGGTCAGGCAGGATATGTATGTATGTATGTATGTATGTATGTATGTATGTATGTATGTATGTATGTATGTAATTGATTAAATGCCAACATGAGAAGACATTCATGCTTTGTAAAAAATAAAAAAATATGTTTAAGGTAATAGAGATTACTTATTTTCAGCGTCAACTGACAGCTGTATCATGGATCAAGATGCATTGATTTTACTACAGATGTCATTCTAATTAACTTTCTTCAGTTTTGTACAACTTAAATTTCTCTAATTTTATCTAATACATTTCAAAAATAAGATTAGGAATAATTAGGTGGCATAAGACCGGCTTTGTTAGAATACTACAAGTTCTATCTTCATATAGGTGAGGGTCACTAGAAGCAGGCTGTCCTATTTGTATACTAGAAACATTTATTAAATTTGAAGTTTTATCTAAGCTTTTAGCAAGAATGACTGAGATTGCCTTTGTGAATAACTTATAGAAACTGGATGAGAAAATTTTTAGCCTGAATTGTCCTGGAGTTCTTCACAATAATTAGTGTTATTAAAATTGGCATATGTCCGGAGCAAATATTAAGACTAGGCCTTGGGGCAGTGGGCCCTTTGCATTTTTTCCATTGAGCCATGCTTAGAAAGCAATAGCAATAACAATAGCACTTAGATATATATACCACTTCATAGTGCTTTACAGCCCTAAGTGGTTTACAGAGTTAGCATGATGCCCCCAACAATCTGAGTCCTCATTTTACCAATCTTGGAAGGATGGAAGGCTGAGTCAACCTTGAGCAGGTGAGAATTGAACTGCTGGCAGTTGGTAGAATTAGCCTGTAATACTATATTCTTACCACTGAGCCACCACAGTTTATGGCCCTAATGAAGGGCCATAGGCCTATCCAGTGTTCAGTCTCATCCCTTATGCTATTCCATATCTTCAGAAAACTGGTAGAGGATGTTATCTGGGTTGGGATGCTATCAGTATGTCGATGGAACCCAACCATACTGCTTCCTAGTATCTAATTCCAAGAAAGCAATGTGTATTCTGAATGAATGAGAAGAAGCTGAACCTGAATC